GACCTCCACTGATACCAAAATCCATGGGTGCTTAAGTCCCCTACATAAAATGCAAACAGTTGGCCCTCTGCATCCACGGACTCCCAACCGCAAATGGAAAACAGTACAGGTGTTTACCAACAAAAATCCAGCTGTAAGTGGGCCCTCAAAGTCCAAACTTGTATTGTTCAAGGGTCAACTGCATTGTTTTGCTTTCCTTTTAATCCTTCCTATGGGTATATTTTTTGTATTGTTCTCTGTCTTCTGTGCTGAGGGTATTATCCTTCCTGGATTGTTCCTTTTCTTCCTTTCCACCTAAGTAAGCCTGCTCTTCTTTCCAGGTCTAATCTGAGCCCACATATTTTTTTAATTGTGATAGTGTTTTAACACTGTTATTACAATATATTGGACTGTTGAGATCAACTACGTTGTGCTACAAGTGATTGCTATTGAGAATCTTTTTTATGGTTACATTTTCCAGTGGAAGAAAGGGGTGTGGTTATAGAAAATGTACTTGGAATAACAACTCAGCTCAGTCTTTGAAATGCATTGTCAATGGGACATCACGTCATGTGTGTCCAAATTGGGGGGGGGGGAATGTTGAGGACGCCCTGCACTGACTCCTCCTCTGCAGTTCACATGTGTCATTGTTATCTCTCCTCGGAGTTGTCTGATCTCCCCAACTAGACTGGAAGCTCCTACAGAGCAAAAGTTCTTAAACTTGAGCCTGCATCAGAATCACCTGGAAGGCAAGTTGAAAAACAAATTGATTGACCTCACCCCATAACTTCTGACTCAATAGGTCTAGGGCGGGGCTCTAAACTTTGTATTTTCTAACAAGTTCCCAGGTAACGATGAACACTGTTGATTCAGGAACTATATTTGAATGACTGCTGTAGAGAAAGAGCTGTCACTTCCTTCTCTGGGTTGCCATGCTCATTCGCAATGTTCAATTAAGTGCTTGTTAATGATGTAGATAAGTAAATTCAAAGTCCTTCCCATTTATACAGGAAGCTCACAGATTGCTATCCAAAGAAGCAATGTTAATAGTAACCACAATAATTACAACAACCATTTATTGCACATCTCTAATTGCCACAAAAATCCTGAGGGCTGGGTATCATTATCTTCATTTTACAATTGAGGAAGTTGGAGCTGAGAAAGTTACGTAAGCAATTTGCTCAAGAGTCTATGTCTTGTAAATGGCAGAGCCAAGTTTCAGCCAGGTCTGTGTAATAACAAAGCCCCAGGAGACAAAAAGCAAACTCTCAGAGATCTATCCAGCCAGAGTGCCAAGCACAAAAACAACAATTAGAAAGGCACTGCATAGCCTTTCAACACCATGGCAACAATAGTTAAGGAAAACCATTACATTTTAAGAAGGTAAACAACTTAAATTATTAGCCATACTTTCTATAACCACAACCACTTCTTTCAATGGAAAGCTATATATACAGTATTTTTAAAAGGTTTTCACATTAAATGCACTTAGAAGAGTGGAAATTTTGTGGAAATGAAGTTTTGGAGCTAGGGAAAGACACTAATGTATCAATAAGCCATCCCAGGAAATGAAACCCTTTTTAAAACTTCAGAGAAAGTTTGCACTGTTCATGTCTTCCATACCCCATATTCTGTGATTATTAAAAACAAAATTTTATTTCCCTAAAGACATTAAAGTCTACCCTATCCTTAACCCTTCACAGTTCTTGGCTCATACAATGTGTTCAATAAACGTGTTGAATGAATGGACAAACAAGTGAAATATGCTGTTGGAAACTCAGGGTTTTTCCTCGATCACTTACAAACTGCCTCAGCAGTTCATTATGACTGCTCTTATTATCTTTTGAAATACAGCCTCAAAAAAGATACAGCAAAGCTTTGGAAAGGAAGTACTTTTTTTTTAAATGGGGGGTGGAGGGTGGGAAATGTCACTGATTAGCTCAAAGAGAAAACTGGAAAAGGAAGGGAATTATTGGACTTAATGAAACAAGAGGGCAGGTAGAAAAGAAACCAAATCTTACCAGCCCTGATCTTAAGAGATGCCGCCTTATCCTCGTATTGTTAAAATATCCAGCCAGGTGTTTATCGGTAAGACTATTATATGCTGCCAGTAATCTAAAGGAGAAAAATGAAACCATTAAGCCTTTATGAAGAGTCGCTTGATAACCAAGGCAACTCTTGACTTTCTCATCCCCCAGCTGTTCATAATCTCACTCATCTAGCCATCCAGTCTTTTATGTATGTGTTTAATAAACAGATACTCTTGAGCACCTACTATGTCTAGGTTTTATAAGAACTGGGAGAGGACAGTCTTGATGTTGTTTATCCTGAAGACAAGTATGAAAATCAGATATGAACAATTAAATTGGGTGTGAAAAATCCAACAATAGAAATACGCAAAAAGTCATGGGGACACACAGAAGGAGAGCATGAACTCCAGTTCTCAGTAATGTCATCATGGAGGAAGCCTGATGGGAAAGTTGGGGCTCCTTCAGAGGACTCTTTGGCCTCCTGTTACACCCTAAATTCTAGTCACTCAAACTTACCTGCACTTCCTCAACATATTCACTCATGTCTTCCAGACACAATGCACAGTCCCTCCCCTGCAAAGGCCTTCCCTTCACCTGTTAGCAAGTGGCTAACACCTGAGATGAACAAGCATCTTTTCTCTCCGGAAATGTTGCCTGGTACACACTGGGCGTGCTGTGTTACCTTCCATGCCACTCCCCTATAACCTTGAGTTACATTACACGTCACACAATATGTTATTGTTTATTTCTTAGTCTCCTCTGCTTGGTTTGAAAGCCAGGATGGCACATGGCACATTGTCCTTGGTATCCCTATTGACATTTTTACTGTGTACCAAAATAAGGATGTGTCCAATAGAGGAAGGCACAGATTTGTTTGGGACTCAGTCTTGCTGATATAAATTTCTAAGTTTACCCTCAGCCGTTTAGAAGTCTTAACTTCCTCATATATATCCAGACAATTTCATTAATTCCACATCCAGAACAAAAAGAAAAAAAGAAAAATCATTGATTACTTTTAAGAGTTAAAAGAGGAAAACCTGATTCCTTGATTACATGCTATACCTTGGTAGATGGTCAATCTAAGCATAAATCAAAGTTTGAAGCTATCCTTTTCTAAGTTTTAACCTATACAGTAAAACCTTGGATTGTGAGTAACTTGTTTTGCAAGTGTTCTGCAAGACGAGCNGAGAAATTATAAATTAATTAGTTGGGAAGAGCATGAGGATGTTTACTATGACTCACCTGTGTTATTGGACTGGAACATCCTTCATCAACCACAACACTATGGCCCCAGTTAGTCTTTGGGCCTGCTGGGGGGTGGGGAGACAGGGCTGGCATGGCATTTCCTACAGACCATCTTGTGGGCTCTCCCTAGAATAAGAAAGTGATTTCACAGATGGACGCATAATTAGTCATCTAGGCTAGGTCAGTACAAGGTAAGAGATACTTTATGACTCAAGAAGTTCTTTCTCATTACTTTCGAAAGTGAGTGTTCCTTCTGAGGCCTATCACGATAGTCAGAAAAAGTTTCCATAGGTATACTCCGGGGTTGGGTGTGGTAGTGAAAGGCAGGAAACTGAGTCTGTTTTATTCAAAGAAAGAGCTGGACTCAAAGAGGTAGCTACAGAAGCAGTGCATCCTCCATGTGAGCAGTAATAGTTATTAATATGCTTTAAGGAGACCACTACAGAGGCTCAATGCTCCCCACTGTGCTGTTCAATAGAGACTACAAGAAAGTATTACTTTTCCTCTGAAAAATTAAAGAATGCCCTAAGCAAAAGGGTTGCATTAAGAAGGCCGAAACATAGCTCTTTCGCCAAGTGCCACTCTAAAGTGAAAGTTGTTACAAATAAAATCATACAGGGAAGGACTGGAGTGTCTATCACAAATCTTCCAATGCGTTAGCATGCCCATATATCTAGCTAGTGTGCCTGGCAATCTGAGCGAGAGTGAAGAGCACAGTGCTTCAGGCAGGGCTAGTCACTCTTTATTTCCAGGGACCATTTTTCTCCATCAACATTTTGGCAGTAAATTATAGACTCTGTAACTCAGTCCTTGATATAGGACAATATTGGCAAAGTTGAATTAACCACAAATCTCTACACACTAACTCTTTTGATCTTGAAAAACGGACCTATCTTCTGTTATTTAACAACACCTTCGTAACAAGATTATCTTTGACCATGATAAAATAGACAGATTTGAGTCCTTCAAGCAAGAGGGGAAAATGACAGTCTTCTATGGCACGTCATTCTACAGAAGCTTCACAAATATTCATCAGTTTGTGAAATGGGTCTTAAGCTCCACATTTGTAATAAGACACTGAAAACGAAGAACATGTGAGCTTAAATGGCTCAAGAAAGACAGTAAACCTGCCAACCTAAACTGAAACCTTTCATACATGTGTAATTGAATCTCTCATCTCTGAATTCAAATTTATATATTTCATAAGTTCACTTCAAAAAAGGGTGTCAAATATTTAAAAACCCACAAAAACAGGGAATTTTTAAATGCCTTGTACGAAGTGTCTAAATCTTATGCATTTATTTGCTAAGGTACACTTTCCTACCACATACGAGGTGTGACAATTAAGTTCGCGAACTTGTTGCAACGATGTTGCTACTTTTTTTTATATCAGAGGGATTATTCATTATGATTGTGTACCAAAAGGACAAATAGTTAACCAAGTTTACTATTTGGAAGTGCTGGAAAGGCTGCGTGAAAAAGTTAGGCAACCTGAGCTTTTCGCCAACAATTCATGGCTCTTGCATCACAACAATGCACCAGCTCACATAGCACTGTCTGTGAGGGAGTTTTTAGCCAGTAAACAAAAAACTGTATTGGAACACCCTCCCTACTCACCTGATCTGGCCCACAATGACTTTTTTCTTTACCTGAAAATAAAGGAAATATTGAAAGGAAGACATTTTGATGACATTCAGAACATCAAGGGTAATACGATGACAGCTCTGAAGGCCATTCCAGAAAAAGAGTTTCAAAATTGCTTTGGACTAGGTGCTGGCATCGGTGCATAGCTTCCTAAGGGGAGTATTTCAAAGGTGACCATACTGATATTCAGCAATGAGGTATGTAGCACTTTTTCTAGGATGCTTCCACGAACTTAATTGTCAGACCGGTACTTTCAAGTGTCACATGTGTATGAAAATGTGCTATTGGATAATTCTTATTTTGCCCTGTTTTCCATCACATTGGGAACATCACCTTCTTTTTTTGTTTGTTTTACCTCCTTAAGGCAAAAACACCAAAAATCCTTCAGCCTCTATCACATATCAATCAAGAAAATACAAAAGCACAATTTCAAGCTTAAAAAGAATGTTTTTAAGTTTTTCTTTGAAAAGTTTGTGCCTTATAAAACCAATTTTGCATAGACAGCTCCTATTTTTTCATGATCTGTATAATAATGGTGACCAAGATTTAGGCTTGGTGAAACCAACATTTGACCTCAGATATGAATTACCTCAAAAGTAAAGTACCCCAAGCAACTTCAATAATAACACCACTGGCTATCAAAATCATAAAATAGTATTATGAAGTAAAAGAGAGTTCTGTAGCTCCTTACCTTAAATCTCTGAATTTGCTCTTTTCTAGCTAAAGTCTCCAATTTCTTTTTTATTTCAAGCTGATGGTAACGCTAAGAAAACAGGAAAGAATGGAGAAGAGAACCATACCAATTATGGCAACAAATTTTTAAGAAGAAAATAATCCCACCAACTAACTGTATTCTCAATTACCCCTCTTGTCATTGAGATGGAGAAGAATCACTTGCTTTAGAGTGCAAATGGGAATATAAATTGGTACTACTCTTTGGAAAGCCATTTGCTAACATATACTAGACAGTTAAATGTGTCCCTACCATTTGGCCAATAAATTTCCCTTTGAAACCTAAGAGGAAATATGAATTTAAAAAAAGAAAAAAAATGTGTTATGGACAAAGATCCCATCCGAAATGTTTTTTTGTTGTTATTGTTGTCCTCATAAAAGCAAAAATTCAGAAGCAATAGAAATCTCAAAGCTTTTGGCACATCCATATAATGGAATAGAATATAACCATTAAAATAAGGTTCATAAAGATTTTGCTTAAAAAAATGGAAAATGTATGTAATGCAGGAAAAAGGTGAATACAGAATTGCACAGAAATACAAGTTAATTTATCGAGTTCATATTGTGTGCATGTTCCCATATTAGGAAGGTGTTTCATGTGCATCATCTCTTCTTCAACAATAGTAATTGCTAAGCAGTCTCATTTTACAAATGGAGATGCTGAGGCAGAGGACCATGAACTTGCTCCTAGGTCACACGTTTAGTCAGTGGTTGAACTTTGGTCTTTCTTATACTAACTTCCTATATATTTTTGTTTGTTTTTTTACAAAACCATGTTCCTCTCAAAACATAGTGTGCTTTAATTAATGTATCAAGATAAATAGAGACTAAAAAGAAATGTATCTAAACACTTATCTCTGAGAAGAGGTATTATATTGATTAGTCTCCTTTATTATACTTTCTTGTGTTTTCCAAATTTTCTGTAATGTATTAGTCATATAATTGAAAAACAAACCTCATGGAAAAATGATGTGTTTACAATTCGAGTTGAAATCATTCAGTCACATTTGAGAGCATTTTAAAAAGTGTTTTTAATCTCTTCTTGATCCCCTCCTGCTGCGCTGAGATCCTGCAGACTCAGTCATTCCCTACTATCACCAACCCTCTTCTTCACACTTCCCTTTCTTCTCTCCTCCTTTCCTATTCTCTCACCCACTTATCAGTAAACTTTATTAGTTTTACTATCAACCATCTTCCATTGACTTCCAACTCACCACAGTCACCTACTCCCACCAACCCTCCTCGTCACCATCACTCAAACCTACTTTCACCAAGATCACCAATGCCTTTGTCCTCTGGGTCAAACCTAATTTCTATCTGTCCCTGTACTCATCTTATTTAGCCATTGGGAAGTTTGTGAGAACCACTCTATCAGGCAGTTTCCACCACTTGAAGGTTCTTTTCCAACCCATGTTGTTGTTTCTGATCTTCTGCAATGCACACACCACCCACCAAGCTACAAACCTCAGCGTTTCTCTGGGTGATTTTCCCTTCAGCCGTCCTCACTCCATCAGTCTCAGTCTTTCTCCCTCTCCCATACCTCTGAGGACAGCTGCATCTCCCCGGCGTTTCCATGACTGCTGTTACCCCACACCCTCTGGCAACAGCTTCCTAATTGACCTCCCACCTGCAATCGTTTCCAGCTCATTAATCCATCTTCCACATTTTTAGCAATATCATCTTTCTAAAACAGTTCTGCTCATTTATTTCACTCCTAGGCTGAAAGAAATGTGTCATTGCCTCATCACCTATACTCCAAACCTAGCTGGGAATTGAAATCCCTCCTGAAACTGGGCCCCAACTTATTGAGTGTGTCACAATTCCTGCCTCTCTTTCGACCAACCCACTGCGCAGTCTGGCCTCAGTGAGACTTCCTTCCCATCCACAAGGTCCTTTAACACCTCTGTAACTTCACTCTCTGGGATGCCTTACTCCCGTTTGCATATGATGTCTCATTCAGTCTTCAAGGTCCAGGTCAAGTAGCAGGACTTCCACGCAGCTTCCTTTGACTCTCACAGAGGCAAGTCATCAATCCCTTCTTTTCTCAGCTGTATGTTTGTTCCTCTCATCTAGTTCGCTTTTGATCACTTTCTACAGTATTTTTTTGAATTATATCTCTCAGCTACATCACATAGTCTCATAATGGTACATGGTAAGCCTGCAATTAATATTTGTTGCAGGAATGGATTCACAAATACTAATACAACAACATTAGTAAACAGCATCTACAACAACATTAGTAAACAGCATCAGCATAACCTAAATATGAGACCAATGTTAACAGTTTAGAAATAGACTATTTGTTAATTTATGTATTATAATTATGTATATTGCGTATTGCCATTTATCTAAGATATATTTTCCAAACTTTAAGAATATGGGAAGATGCTTAAGTAATGGCATAATTTAACAGATATAATGTGTCAGTTAAATGAAGTTTTGGAAAACCATACTTTAAGGATCAAGGCTTATATACAACTTGTGCCAACTGATTACATTTGAAACTAGGTCAAGATTCATTTTACACTGTACTATTTTTTAACGTTAACTGTAGAATTCCAACTAACACTTTTATAAGCAAGTGAATTTGGAGGCCAAAAACAATGATTCTATGTAATTCATGCACATGACATAAGCACAAAATAAATTCCTAAGTGAACATATCATATATATCTTAAGTGAACACAACCCTTGCTCAATATAATGGTAGCATAATAATAAATATTTTCAGTGGCACTAAACTTAGTATTGGTTTACTGATGATTCTACAGTTGTCCATAAATGTTTACTGCACCCACAGGTCAATGGTTTTATGAGCCAAGTTTTCTAATTTATTGCTGTATGTTCAAGCCAAGAAGTGACATGCTTTTTCACAGAGATTAAAATGGCGTTGATGCTTGAAACTACAAATTTCATGGAGCAAGGCTAAAATAATTTATCAAGTTTGCTAGATATCCTACTAAAAATGCCATGTCAGATAAAATTTTTAAAAAGTTGCTGATGCTTGGATTGTAAATCTATGCTGACCAATGTGTCCTGAAGTAGGAGGGACAGCAGATGTTTCAATGCCTATTCCTTGAAATTTAGCATATGGCTGAGCTTCAGAGCCTTAAAAGAATAACAAATCTGAAATAATTCATGGCAGTGGAATTACTGATATTTAAACAGATGCCACTTTTTTTTTTTTAGCAAATTGTAAATTGAGGTACAGATGGTGAGGGCTGGTATGTTTTAAAGTAGCCATTATGGATTAAAAATCTACATTTGTTAAATTAAATATCACAAAATATATGATGATATCCATATTTTTTCTCTAACTGAAATGGAGAAAAGCTTACTTTATAGTCTGTTGGCTCCTTGCTACCTAGAGAAATATGGAGAGCTTCTCAGGTCACCTTGTTCCATTCCTTTTTAATGAGATACAGGAGAATCCCCTTGCTTCTAGGTATGGAAGTGTTATTAACGATCATATTAGAAAATATCAGTAATAAGAAAATAGTAAATACTTGTACCTCCATATCAAGAACCTTATGGAAAATAGCCTGAGCTAAGCACTCCCGGATATATTTTTGGTGATCCCTCTTCATGATATTTAGTTTGTATTCTTTTTCAGAAAGTATTCTTCCACTTCTTGTGATCTGTCATGAATAAATAAAACATACATAGAAATACAAAGCAGAAAATGTATGGTTAGTTACCAAAAAGGGGAGAGATAGAGGCAGAGGCAGGCAGATAGACATTGAGAATGTCAGCGTCTCCTAAGCCTACAGAAGTATACGAATATGTTTGATAAATTTTCACTTTTAATAAATATTTCTTAAGGTAAAAAAAGAGAAAGTCAGTCTTATATACCCATCACTGTGAAAACACACACAGGTAGTACACTTGATGTTGAAAACACGGTTTTCAATAGAGCAGCAATTTTTCCTTGATGGAACCCAGGTGTTCTTTTCATTTCTTTTTTGCACACATTCTGTAAGAAGGGGTGGGATGCTACCTTGAAACAATGAATAGAAGCAAAATGAATAGAACAATGAATAGATCACAGAACTGATGATTTCACAGGAAATACTTTGAAGGGCGAATGAAACATGTGAGCTACAGAGGCTCTCATCAATTTGTTTTAGAAATAATTGACTTCATTAATTTGTTTTCACTCTGCTTTTACTTCTTCCATTCTCCAGCCCAGAATGTAATTTAATTAGTTGTGATTCATGTTTTTTTCAAATGATGCAGTACTGCAGATATAAAGTATTCCAAATTGGTTTCCACTGGCATCATTGCAAGTCCCAGAAGTGGTAGTTTCTGGTTTTCATTTACAGTTGACCCTTGAACAACATTGG